GGCATGGCGGTGGGAGGCTGACACCTCCTTACTGTAACAGTCCGAGTCGTGCATGTACAAGACAGATTGTCAGAAGGACACCGAAATCTGCCCAGCATGTCAGTTACCTACAGCTGACGTGGTGTATGAAGATGGAAACGTCTCATGGTTTATACATCCCATCCAATTGCCTATCCCACAATGCATTTCTCAGCAGGGTCTACTGTATTTTTTTTTTTTTTTTCTCATCTGACACAGATGTCAGGATTATATTTACTAAAAGGAGGAGACCTCTTATCTCAGTTCCTTCCTTCTGAGATCCACACTAGTGAGGGGACAAAGTGTCTGTGAGATTGTGTGACCTGTTTCCAGTAACATTTTAAACCCCCTCTGACCTCGCAAGAGCCTCTCTCTCGCTCCCTCCCTCCCTCCCTCCCTCCCTCCCTCCCTCCCTCCGTAGCAACACTCAAGCTCTGTCTGTTTTCTTTTCCTCCCTGAACAGAGCTCTCAAATGATTCCTCTAACATACGCAACCTTTACAGTATTTCTGCAGCAACAGAGCCAAAGATAAGGTTGGTTTTCTCTCAAAATGTTTAAATCAGGGACGCTGGACATCATTCAGAGTCGGGGGGTGCTGAGAGAAACTCTATATAACTGCATATGAAAAGCATCATGCATTAATTTGATTGGCCAGCATTTTATACTAGATTTAGAACATTTACCGGACAACAGATGGCAACAATGGCTATTACCGCCACTAAAATCACTGAAGCCGTTTTCAGACATGAACTCTGGGGTCTGGACTTTCTCTGGCGTTTCCACACATGGAACAATGCAGCAGCAGCAGCAGCAGCAGCAGCAGGGTTAGGGTTAGCCGCTCAAACACGTTCACATAGAAACCTCTGGAGAGTTCAGGTGAGGGGTGGTTTAGCAGGCGGAGGCAGGATGTAACGTATTGATTCCACTGCAGGGATCACGTATTCACGCGCTGGCCCTTATCACCAGAAGCTTTCTTATCTTCGTCTGTGTCTTCTACGTCTGTGGCACCGCTTTGTCATCCTGAGATATTTGTTTTCTTATTGTTTTATTTTTTAAATTTTGTGTCTGTGGTGGGTTTGAACAGAAGCTTCATCAATATGCTCCTCTGGAGAATTACTGGAGATTATTTGATTTCAGTGCATGTCTGAAAGCAACAATAATAACTCCAACATTAGAAGAAAGAGAAATTAATCGGAATAAAACGCCTTCTACTACATTAATCTCAAATAGTTTTTTCAAATTTCAGTTACACCCCTTTACCAGTCGGGGGTGCTGCAGTCCCCTCAGCACCCCTACTTCCAGTGTCCTTGCTTCACATCCACGTCCTAAGCTTCTGTTATGCTTGATTCCTCTGTTTCAGTCAACAAATGGTGGTTTGTGTTCCAGAAAATACAAGAGGCGATACCATTACACACTCGAGATCCAACTTCCTAGCTGCGTATTTCCAGTTTGCTCGTTTAAACAGAAGTAAAAAGACCTCGTGGGGAAATCTGTTTGCTGATTACTGTCCCTGTCAACCCTTGTTAATGTTAGACTAATGGTGATTAGTGATACTTCACATTCTATTTGTGAGCTGGAGCGCAGCTTAAGGTTGTGGAGTGGGGCCCTTCTGGTTATGGAGATACGCCATCAAAACCTCATATAGCTTTTAATACTTCTAACTAAAGACGTGGTGAAATCAGTATGCACACTTAATTTCCCATTTCTTTAGCTTCATCCTAGTAATTTCAACTCATTTATTCAGACCTGCTTCCATAGAAGCCTATTTATTTTTTTGCTGAATTTTGCCTCAGGCACTTTTTTGCAGCCTTAATTCTAAAAGGGTAATAACTGATTTCCTGTGAAGTTTATCTCATCTTTGTTTTTACTTTCAGGGGAGTTTTACCGATTCCTATCTGCCTAATGGGTATTTAAATTAATGGTTTGGTAAATCTGTCAAAGATGTTTCATCCTGTCCCTCCTCTCAGTTTGTTTGTCAGACAGAAGTCTTTTTCCATTTTGTTGCAAGTCCTGATTTTTTCATCATACATTTAGATTGCAGGCTGTATATGAAAATGGACGTAGACTCCAGGTTCGAGACCAAAATGCCAAACTCAAGGCTTCAAAACAGCAGATGACAAACAAATGGGTGACGTCACAGTGTGTTGCCACTTGGGTTTTTCTTGTTTTGAAATATTTCATTTATTCTGTCTCTCCTCTCATATACACAGAACATATATGAGCTGCCATCCTGTCTACGTGAGACAATATTTACTTGATGCTCTGAACGCAGCCTCCTGGGTAGTTTTCCCTTCCAGGCTTCCAGCCACAAACATCACCAGCCAGATGCCTTTGGTTGTAGATGCAGCACAGAGGGTTTGTTAGCTGGGGTCTAATCCAGACTGAAGTGGCTGGAATATCGTCAAATATTTTGGAAATCTCTTGTCTCTCCTCTTGATCTCCCTCTTGTTTCTCCTGCTCCACTATCAGATTCCATCTTTGTCCGAGTCTCAGCACTGTTGTCGTTTAATGTCGGGTTTTATGGATTTATTATGAGCGGACCTTTGTCTCCATTGCCAAGGTGAATAATAATTTGTGACAGTAATTGCGGTGTTGTCTAACAACACAGAGTCCCCTATGATCCTTGGATCGTGTTGTCTTGTGTGTTGCACATTTTTGTCATGGAGGATGTGGCTCCTTATCAACAAACAGGCTTAAAGCTTTTGTTCATCCTGTGAGCCTGGTTATGGTTGTTGATGTTGTGATAATCCCATCACTGTGGTGTGTGTGTGTGCGTGTGTGAGACAACGCAGTGTTGTGCCTTTTTTTTCTGTGTGTAAATGAGGATAATTGTTCAGCATCTGGTAATTTACGCTGCAGTCAGAAAGAATTAGGACAACAATGTGTTTTTCATTATTGCTGGCTCTGGTCCAGCCGACTGGATTCGAAATGAAACAAATGAAACAGTAGCTTTGAGGTTGAGGAGCTGACTTTGTTTGAGATTAATTGACGTCCACATATTTTTACTAGAAATCTGGAAGAATGGTCCTAAATAGTCACATTCGTTTTCTGATCTAAATCTATCTGAGCAAGTATCTGTATAATCAGAGCATCTGCAGTGGAGATTCAAAATGTCTGGTGACGTCTGTGAGTTGAATCAATTGCCAGGTATGAACCAGCTAATTAATATATCTGACTTAATGTAGTTTTCATTGATTGGATGATGTTAACTCATTATTATACACGTACTGCACTTATACAGCGGCCTTTATCATCCTTACATCACCCATTCACACTCATTCAATCAGCAGTTTTATCTACTTTGACTTTGGTCCACGTCCCATCCATTAACAAGGAGGAGGCCGGGTTTACAACATGTCCTGCAGCCAGCCACCAGGGGGTGAGACACTTTGGCAGGAGCAGGGAATCAAACCACAAACCTTATTGCCGGTGGACCACCTTCTCCATCTGAACCTACAGATGTGTATTTCCCTATTTTGGTCCGGCTCAACTCTTTAAACTTGCATACAGCTGCAACAGAGCTTGCAGTATACTTCATGATTCTGAAGGCACAGATGGAGATGATCTGTGGTTACGAGACCAATGCCATACCGCTTGCCCACCGCGCCCACCTAAATATCCTATATTAAAAGCTGACAGACAGCACAATGTCTCCACAGTACCTGTGCGACTTCAAATCCAAGAGGCCGACGTACAGATGCAACAAAATCAAACCATACATGTCTCTCAAGGTTTGCTGAGTGTCGACAACGTGTTATGAATGTTGAGCTGCAGCTGAACGGCCTCAGATGTCTGTGCAGACGCAGAAGGTCAGATCTCAACAAACCGTGTTATTCTGCCCGAGCGTTAACGTGCAGAGACGATTCTTCAAACATGTTATTCTTTGGAAATATCAGCAAATCCCTCATATCACTGCAATCACAATCAAGCCAGTGAAGTGGAATCTGAAATGTAGACAAGTATTGAAAGCCAAATTAGCGGGTAGTCCACATGCCTCGACAGACAAATACACCAGCGGCTGTTTTGCATTTCAACACAGTTTCTGCGGTAATAACACAGTGTTTGCTCTCTCCACTCTGCTCCGTTTCTGCATCCCAGCTTTTGCCTTCCAGTCAATTTCCCTGACCTGCAAACAAATGGAAATGTCATACACACTGACATTCTTTCCTCACGGTTTTGTTTTTGCCCACTTGCCAGGCAAATGGAAAGCAGATCTCTCTGAGTCGGACCGCAGATTGTTCCTCCAAAAAAGAAAAAAAAAGAAAAACACACGCACCATGTGAAATCACAAACATTTCTGTGGCGAGGCTGTGGAATGTGACAGCAGACGTGTTTTAAAAAAAAACATCATCTGACAAGTTATTTGAGGGAATCTAGACACCAGAATCGACTATATAAGGGAGGTTGGGTTCAGCGCTCAGTGGTTGTCCTGTCTGAAATAAAACGATTTAACTTCCTCAACATAGGCGGCTTTCCTGTGTGCATTTGAAGGGGCTAGAAGGTGGCTGTGTCTCTGTCAAAGCAATGTCTTATCTCCGTCTGCCATCCGACGCTAGCCAATTTTTAGTCCATAAAAATGTCACGGAAAATGCAAACCAATCATTTTTGAAATAACAAATGATTGGCGGGAAGGCCGTCTATGAACATGTGTGACGCTGTGTCCTGCTCCCACTCCCCTCACTGTTCGTTAGAGAGCTATGTGTAGACCTGCATGTGTAGTTCCCCTTGTATCGTGCTTTTATTTGTCAGCTTCGTGAGTGAAGTAGAAGTGTTTGATTTTCGTGTCACGCCAAAAGTCTTTTTTTGTTACGTTGTTGTTATTTTGTTTTTTCTTCTTTTTTTTGTTTCCTTCCTTTCTTTCGTTCCACTATCATTTCCATTTCCACTCCTCACCTCCTCCTCGCCCTGTTCCTTTTGGACACCTCTGCATAATCCCTCCCCCCCCCCGTCCCTCCTTCCTCCTTCCTCCTCCCGACCCTCAGATGTATCCCTGCCCTCTTTCCCCCCCCCTCCACTGACTCCTAACACTACTGACCATGTAACGCCAGGCTCTGGAGGCGTAGCCGGTCCAGCAGGGCCCACTCCCTCCGCCCCTCGCGACGTCGTGGCTTCGCTGGTCTCCACCCGCTTCATCAAGCTGACCTGGCGGCAACCGGCCGAGCCGCACGGAGACGAGTTAACCTACTCAGTTTTCTACAGCCTGGAAGGCACTAGCAGGTAGTACACGCACTCTTTAGTACTGCCAGGAGGGTACTTATACACACATTACTGCTGGCATCAGCAGGGTGCTAATATACATACTGTACATTCCTGTGAAAGAAATATCTCTAATTAAAGCAGCTAAAGCATTTATCATAGCAGTAAGTGTTCATTAATTAAAAATTAACTTCCCTTCCCAAAAGGATTATCTTTTTAACATGGACGCATAAACAAAACATCCAGTTCAAACAGTTTTTCTCAAGTATTAAATTCTTCTCGGCTCCTTCTGTCGAGGATGTAAGTTTGTGACTGAGAAGGAAATTCAAGAGGCTGAGAGGATTTTCCACAACTGTTCTTCACTGTTTTGGCAACCTTTTGTGTTTCTTTCCCTGTAAAACATCTTTGAAGCAGAACCGGCCTCAAACTGTGTTTTTTTACTCTGTGTTTGAGCTTGATGTGCAAACACAGACGTCACTATACTGTGTTTGTGCAAAAGCATGGAGTGCAAACACCCTGTGCACACAAATCTGTGTGGCTGGGTCTTAAACTTGGTCCTCCTGTAGACACACGAGCCTGAACGTGCTCATCTTAATCCATTTGTTGATTAATTGATGTGTTCATTGAACTGAAAATGAAATATTTATCAAGCACAAATGCCTGCGTGTCCACATCAGGGAGCGAGTGGTGAACACCAGCCGTCCGGGGGAGATGCAGGTCACCATCCAGAGCCTCATGCCAGACACCAAATATCGCTTCAGGGTTGTGGCGCACAACAGCAACGGCCCGGGGGAGAGCTCTGCAGCGCTCAAAGTGGCCACCCAGGCTGAAGGTAAAGACACACAAACTCACACACTTTCACACAAACGTTTGTATGTGCGCGGTCACACACACATAAAGGCGAACTCCAGCCAGCTTGTTGGAAATGTGCTCACACTGATGCTGAGGAAAACAGGATGCACTCGAAAGGGGCAAAGTAAACAAACATACAAGCAAACAAATATTCACACACATACAGCGTGTGCTCACTTCAAACAGGAGGCGTGCACACACACACACACACACACACACACACACACACACACACACACACACACAGAGGAGGCTATTTGCCGCTGTGCATTAAGGCAGACCACCCAACAGCAGACCAGAGAGAGGCAGCATTTTCTTGTTATGAGCCACTTTTTGTTTACTCTCACAGCAACATGCACAAAAAGCCCCCTGTGTGTGTGTGTGTGTGTGTGTGTGTGTGTGTGTGTGTGTGTGTGTGTGTGTGTGTGTGTTGTGCACGTCAGCTGCTTTAAACTCTGCCTACCTCAGTGAGGGATGCTTGAAATTAGTATTTCATTTTTGTTTTCTTTCTGAGATATTTCCCTCATCCAGCCTGTGCAGAGAGACTGTACATAAACTCATTAGAATATTTGACTGGAGGACACACAGGAATTATTGAGAGGAGAGGAGACTAAGTGGCTCTCTTCTCCTCCTCTGTTCTCTTCATGTTCACTGTGGCTGCTGCTCCAAAACATTTTGAAAGTGCTGTGCAGGGGATTTCCCGGCTCACTGTCGGGGCGGACGTCCCTCACCTCTAGGCTCAGCTACAGCTCAGTCACTGTCACTTTCTAGGTCAGCCGCTGGTTCTCCCTTTACCTGCGTCCTTGGTTGGAGGGCGAACGGAACAGCACACACACAAACAAACACACACACGCTGCCCCTTAATGCCTGCCAGCAAGAGCCGAGCCACCCATGGGGATAGCAGTGAGGGCGGGCTTTACCTGTGCAGTACATCTTTGTCGTCTGTGTAAGAACATGTGATGACTTGGAGCTTAAACTGTTGACCTGCATCTGAGTGCCCGGTATGTGCACAAACCGCTGGCCCACATCACCTCCCCTCAGAGACTACCTCAGTACACACACACACACACTTCTAACATGCACACATGACAAATGGGAGCCTCTCTGTTGTGTCAGGAGCACCTGCAGCTAAAGTTCACAGGAAATGTGCAGCACATGCATGCAGTCTGTCTGCGTCGGCTCGGCACAGAACCTCACAGTCACCGTGTCATTTTCAATCTGATGCACAGACACAGACACAACAAGAAATGTCGCCGTGCATAGACTTTCTGACTCTGCGTGTTCTGTACACAGCACAGACACAAGTTATTAGAGCAGTGATACATATTTTATTACGTTAGCTCAGAGCTGCAGCACAATATGAAAGGAAATGTTTAGTTAAAGGTTGAACTGCTGAATGCCAGCTTTGATTTACATTTCCTTCAGACGAACAGTGGAGGAATTAAAATCCCTTGAATCCACACAGAGGCTCCGATATTCACGGGATATAAAGTAACGGACAAGCTTTACCATCAGACCAGGTCACGACAACAGGAGACTGTTCAGAACATTCAGATGGGGGGGGGGCATCTTCACCATGCAGGAGGCGGGACATGACGTATGCATTTCACTGCGGAAATCTCAAGACACATTGACACCGATGAAGGCCCCAACCACCAAAAGCTCTTTATTATATTGTTTTTTACTCAGTGAGCTAGCAGGGAAAGTTAAGGAAAATGTCAGTAGCACCTGGCTCAGACATTTGCATTGTCTCTTACATTAAAATGATTAAATAATAATAATCATTATTATTTTCTTTACTCCAGCCACAGTGCCAGGTTTGCAGGTAACCTATGAAAGTATTTCACACTTTTGCTAAACGATGATGGACAATTCTGACCTTTTCTGTTTATCTTACAAAGGCAGAGCTTCGTATGAACAGGAACATTCTCACTCTCTGTTAAATCTCCTCTCTTGAATAACACAGACTGAAGTGTAAACAAAGCCAGAAGCAAGTGTTGGTGGAGACACATTGTCATTTTTGTTTGTCACGAGAAAATCAACATCCAGTCCAGAGGGGACACACTGGTCTCCGGAGAGCTGCTCTGAACTCTCACTAACACAACGAACATGGCTTAGAAATAGTCAAGAAAATGTTTTCGGCATCAATCACTAAACATTGCTTGATTGACTTCCTGTCGTCCAGTGGTCACATTTGACAGCTTTTCAATATCTTGTCTGCTTCGTCTTCTTTTTTCTCTCCACCAGTCCAAGTCCCCGGCCCTGCTCCTAACCTGCAGGTTGTGTCGAACACGCCGACCTCCGTCTCCCTGAGCTGGGACAAACCTCTCACCGGCAACGGCGAGATCCTCACCTACAAGTTGTACTACATCGACAAAAGCTTCGGCAGTGAACAGGTAGGAAGTCGTCAGTTAAATAAATAAATAACAAACACATCTGCAAGTTCTTTCCTGACCCATATCACATTTTTGCATAATTTTGCTGACAATCAAACAAACGAACAGGGGTGAAAACCAAACCTCGGCTGAGATGATCAAGTTTCCAGTGAAATGAAATAACCAGATAAATTGTATAAACTCAGGATGTACTTCTAGATTAATAAAAAGGTTTTTAAAAGAAGAGAGATGAGATGATACTGAACAAACATATTGCCTGTTGTACATTGTGTCCTTGTGTGCTTTGCCTTCGTTTTATTGGCTTTGACATATTATTGAATTCACTTGAAATAAATGCAAAAGTCGGACAGAGACACGAAGCAAAAGGAAAGGAGACATTACTGTTTGTGGCTGATGCTTGATTTAGCATCAGGGTTCTTTAGATAATAATAAATGACGTAAGCTTTATAGTCTCATGTAAATTGTGATGAGGTAAGAGCTGTTTGTCATTTGGCCCAGAAGTGGTTTTATACGTCTCTTTAGCCGCACTGTTGATCAAGCATCTGACACACAAGCACATATTGGGAGAAAAGAAAGCAGATATGATTCACCCGGCTCTTCTCTGCAGGTATAACTCTGTCACAGCACTGAAATCAAGCTGCGTAGATATTGAGTCAGCCCCAGCAGTAGCAGTGTACGAGCCAGTGAGGCATTAAAAAGCCTTTAATATGATAATGGATTGAAACGTCAGCCGGCGCACTGAGTAATGATGCCTCAGCTCCCCGGAGAGGAGAGCTCGAGATGAGGTGAGAGACCGGAGAGATGACGAGAGGAGCGACAAGAGAAAGAAGAGGTGAAGGACGGAGCGGAGATGAAGTTTGAAAATCACGGCAGTGCAGAGGGCGACGTGAAATATTAAAGGACGGACAGGAAGTCAGGAAAAGCATATGATGCCTCTTCAAGGGTGATGCGGTGGCAGGCCATCGTCCGACCGGAGTTCAGACGCGGTGATTGAGATTGGATTTCAGACCGAATCTCCCGCTTTTTACTCAAAATGTCACAAGCACGGAGCTGAATGCAAATTGACTTGAAGTAATTGGGGATGTGCCAGTGTGCCCAATTTGTACAGCCGAAAGTCGTAATCACAGAAGGCTTCATTTGTGTCTCAGTGGAAGATTACACTATTACACAGAATTACAAGCTGAACTGTTAGTGTGATGAAATGATGAAAGCAGGCGTCACATTTTGCAGCGCTGCCACGTACGGGAGATTGCTTTGTAAATCTTTTTCCTATCAACTGCATTTCTCTTCCAGTTTTAAACTTGATTGCTAATTACATGCTAAAATAGTAGCATTAGTGCATTTACCAAACATGCTGTCGTGTTTTCTCTTTTCAGGCAATATTTTCTAGAATAAAACTTTACTTATTAAGGTGGTATTTATAATAATAGTATCCAGTTTTTAAAGATTTTAAAGAAACTGACTTGTTAACATTGCTCTGTGTCTCCCCCCCCCCCCCTCTCTCTCTCTCTCTCTCAGGACGTTGACATCGATGGTCAGTCCCACACCATGACCGGGCTGAAGAAGAACACAGAGTACAGTTTCCGTGTGGTCGCTAACAACAAGCACGGCCCAGGCGTCTCCACGGAGGACATCGCCGTTCGAACCCTGTCTGACGGTCAGTTGGTTGATGGAGAGAAAAAACCCTGTTTTCCACCAACATGGGTTTCTCTGACGTTCACACGCCTACTTTTGACAGGTTTCAATTTAGACCAAGAATAATTTAGTCTGGAACAAAAATAAGAATCAGGTTATTAATAGCAGACTGCAACTTCCTGTAGGAACCATCATTTACTTTGAGTCAAACAAAGCAAATACACACAATTTAGAAGCTGAATTTCTGAACGTCCAACTTTTTTCCTTTAAAAACGATAAAAACTATTCATTTTGTAAACCCCAATTATCTGTATTGGATTTATTTTTAATTTGTATTTAACACATATATTCAGCGTCATATGCTGCACTATATATATACCATCACACACTGTGTATAATATACTGTCTGTTGCATTTGTACTGCTTAATATTTCACTACGTAATTGGTTATTGTTTTTATTCAGCTCTATCTTATCTTATTTTTACAGCAGTGTCTGTGTCTGTGTTGTGTTCTGCGTTGCACTGATTAAATTGTATTTTTTTTTGCTCCACAGTACCAAGCGCTCCTCCTCAAAACCTCACTCTGGAGGTGCAGAACTCAAAGGTAAGGTTTGATTGTTTTAACTGAAAGTGAGGCCACAGTTTAAAGGTCCTGGAGCTGCACGGGGGTTTTCAGTTGTTCTTACCGAGGGAACATTCTTTTCTGTTGCTCCCACTTTCCTCAGATGCAACATACTAACAACAAATGCCCCTGAACTTGATGTTTGGTCTGCAGTGTAAGCAGCGGCTTCACCAAATACACACACACACACACACACACACACACACACACAGGTGGACGGATCCATAGCCCTTAGGCCAGAGCATCGCGGCTTCTCTGTGTGATTAGCTGCGTCAGAGGCCTGAAGCCCCGGCTGGTTAAGAGGGTGTGTGAACCCTCATCGATCCGCTCATCAGCAGGAGACTGGCCTGTCAGAAGGTTTTATCCTGTGTATCACTCTCCATCTGTACAGGATCTGCTCAAAAAGCCTGAAGCTCAAATCTAAAAGGGCACGAAAAAAATATATTGGCCAGGGAGATATCGACATGCTAAAAACGATAGAAAGGTAACGGTCAGAGCATCGGAGGAAGGATTGACTTGGTGACTTATAGGTCAAAAAGGAACGTTTTGTTGAAAACCAGGTTAAAGCTGCTTCGAAAGTTTTTCTGACAGAGTTTCAGTCGCCACATTTCAACATGTAAGTTAAGCTTTACAATCAAGCTCTCATCTAAACTAGAAATAACAATTCAACAAAATTACCCTAATGAACGTCTGACCACAGACTGATACGAATGCCGCTATCTTAATAATAACAATTATAATAATAATATACTTTATTCGAAATAATTTTTTTTTACAATAGCAGATTGCATTAAAATCAACACGATCTGTGAAAGCAGAAATAGGAAAATTCAATCAGGGAAGGCTCTCCGATATAAGTAAGTCTAAAGAAGGGATGTAAAAGACCTCTTGAGCTGGTCAGTGTGTAGAAATGTTTAAAAAGATCTGCCTAAAATAAAAGGAACCATCTTTGAGAAAAATATAAAAAAAGACTACTTTTGCCATTTTAGTGTGGTCCATGTCCCATCCACTAACAAGGGGGCGGCAGGGTCTAACATATTTATTATTTACATTTAAGTTTTGTAAATGAGATTTTTATTTAGATTTGTTTTCTCTTTGAATTAAAGAGAACTGGATCTCACAGCCAGACAACATCTCCTGATGTCTCACACTCTGTAGTTGATAAGTCAGATTTATTCAAGTCTAGTTGTTGTGCGTTGCTCCTGATTGGTGGAAGCGGCCGAGGTGGTCACTGGATCTGATGAAACAAGAAACTGGCCGCGGGCGGCCGGTCTTTTCAGCCATTTGATCTTAAAACAAAGAGCTGTCTGCTTATTTATTGTAAACTTCCACCCGGATGATGGATTCAATTTTTAACAAAGACGTTCCTCGCTCATGACTCGCGAGACAGTGAGCGCAAACACACAACACCAAAGAGAGGAAGATGTGGAAAAATCCTCGGGGTGCGTGCGGACCCAAAAAAAAAAAAAAACAGCTGCCAGCATTTTTTTATAGACCGAGAGAGAACTGTCAAAGCCGACTAGAGGAAAAAAGAAAAAACCGATAGACAATCCTATCACACACCCCCAGCTTGAGTGAGAACTGGCCACCCATGCTGAAGGACGCTCAGCTGAGATTTGTGGAGAGAGAAAACACACACTAATGTTAAGAGTAAAATGGAGAGGGTGTGTGTGTCTGTCTGTGTGTGTCTGTCTGTGTGTCTGTCTGTGTGTCTGTCTGTGTTTTGTGGATGGATCGTCCACACCCAGCTGTCCCTCCCCAGTCAGAGCCAGACAATTCAATTTGAAAGCTGTGAAACAAACATCTGGCAGCCTTTATGAAATTAGACGTCTAACTTCCTTTTTCCGTCTTTGTTGTCATTGTGTTTAATTCTGAATGCAAACAGCCATTAAGTCAATAATTCTGGTACAAGCATATAGATACAACACATTTATGCAATCAGCTGTCTGATGTGCCCAGCCAAATGGAACTGGAAAGAAAACTAATTAACACGCATTTCATATTCACGCCTCCTCATCAAGCGCAACCTCTCATCGTTTACCTGCGAGGGAGCTGGAAAATTGTTTTTATTTTCTTATTGTGATCTTAGTTCTTCCTTTTGACATCAGGCCTCTCACCTTCCCTCGTGGTTCTCCTGAAAGCCAAATTAAACAGGTTTTCGTGACGAGGGAGAGAAGTAACACACAAAGCAAGTCGGGGCTGATAGTGTCATGAGAAAAAAATGGAAATAATTGAACACACTTAACACAAATTTAATTTGTGCAATTCCCTCGGCTCGGCTGGGGAGGAGCGTGTGTGTGTGTGTGTGTGCGTGTGCGTGTGTGGGCCGTGTACATGTATTCAGGCTTTTGTGCTTCAGCGTAACAGTGGGGAAGCATTAATTAACTCTTCTCCCACGCTGAGCTACCCCCCACCTATCTCTTTAAACACACACACACACTAAAATACAATGCATGAATCCCACATCCGTGCAGTGTCGTGCCCGCCAGCTAAAGTCCTGCATTCATCTTTTTTGCATCAGTGTCTCTGCAGGGTTAATGTGATCAAACACACACACACACACACACACACACCACACTCATCAGGACGCCTCCTTCTTTTTTCATGTGTTTATTTCTTCCTAATGCATCAACCTGCACATGCTCAGAGGGGGTGTTTGTTTTTGTGGAGTCGCACCCCCCGCTCTTAGTCGGAGGAGGACGGGGTAAGGTGAGACAGAACAGTAATACCTGCGGAGTGCACAAAGCTTTGTGGGAAGGTGTAATGCTACCCGCCAGACCACGAGGTGACCTTTGCAACTTCTGGCCTGAGAGCAGATGGTCTCACGTGTGCTAAGCGCGGTGTTTTGTTTCATCTGACTGACCTGCCCTGGTTTTTCCCTCCCTCAGAGCATCATGCTTCGCTGGCAGCCCCCTCCCCTCAGCGGCCAGAACGGGGAGATCACGGGCTACAAGATCCGGTATCGCAAAGGGTCGCGGAGGAGCGAGGCCGCAGAGACAACCGGAGGCACCCAGCTTATCAAGCTCATTGATGGTAATGTGATGATGATGGCCTGTGTGTTAGCCATTAGCCGATGTCTGGATCCCCAGCGTGAGATGTTCACTGTATTCTGTGTTTTAGACAAAGATTTTCATTGAGCTCTTGAAAACTCAAATCAGCCTTGTTGTCTTCCGTTGCAGCTTCTCAGAAAGACTTTCCAATGATCAAGTGGGTGTGAATGTGGAGCCTTTATTAGTTTAGGTGGAGAAGAGCTGCAGGAGCCGTAGTGTTCAGACCTAGAACGTTCCATCCAGTCCGTGTGTGTGTGTAGATCTAGATTCAGCAGGGGATCGACCACAGATGCCACTTGGAATCAAAATCTATTTTAAATGTATCTCAAGTCAACATTTGTGGTCGAATTTCACTTTGCTGCTCGTATTTAGTTTTGTCTGTGAGTGAAGTTTGATTTCCCGTGATGGACCTCATCCAGTATGAGCCGGGACAGACTCCAGCCTCTTGGAACGCTGCGCGGAATAAGTGGGTAAAGATAATGTGTCGATGGTGAACCTTGATTTCTGCCTCAGAGGGAACAGAAGTTATTCATCATATTTTCAGCCTGTGGCCACAGAAAAGGAATAATGCCACTGTTTGCACACATGAGATGATATTGATGTTCTGGAAACATTTTCTCTTAAGAATAAAGATTAACGGGTTTAACAGGCGATCCTATTCGTGAGTGGAACATACTGATATTTACACTACACTGCAAACCTGGACACAGATTTCCCAGACTTCCTCTAAATGATGCCTTAGTCCCACTGTGACATATCAGGGCTGTGCTCACTCTTGAGGTCGAGCTGCCCACATGGTATAAAGGTATAAAGTAGTTTTTAAAACACAGCTTAAAAAGGCGATCAATCGTAAAGATGACTGTCTCCAACTCTTCTGTTTGTCCATATATTTCAATGTGACTGTGCAACATGATTTTAAAATGGCAGCTCCAGAATGAAAACTCATATTTTGTTGTTGGGGGAATCTTAATATTCCCTTTGATGCTTTAGATTAACCTTGATTAATCTACATTAAAACCTTTACGCCCTCAGTCTCAGACATTTTATCTCTGCTGGATTTAATCTTTCAACACCGTCGGCAACATCTGACATGCTGCAAAATTTAGATTCTTGATCTTGAGATCGGAGACGTGTCTGAGTTGTTGTTCGGTCTCGGGTCAGGCTGTAGGTCTGTTGATTCAGCCGACGTCTGGATTTCATCTCAAGCATGGAGCTACATGCCTTACTGTACCCGAACATCATCCACCGCTGCCGCCAAAATATGCACAATATTGCGGGAGACGCACACACACACAGCAATGGTGATTAATATTAGATGTTGTCTCAGCAGCTTTCAAGTGGCCCAGCGTCACGCTGCGTGCGGCATCAAAGAGAATACACACTTAAAAGTTGATTTTTGAGAACATTCTGGGGGGTGAAACAGGGGGATGTTTGTTGGTTCAAAAGCGTTTAGAAAGAGATGTTGTAGCCTTGGAGGCACGGATGGTTAGGCAGTCTTCAGAAGCTACCCCCCAAGGGTGGCCCAGAATAGTGGGTACAGAGAGAAAAGACTACAGGATTAGCATGTAGCGTGCAAATGGGACAATGTGACGATGATGAAAAATGTTACAGCAAATTAATACAGCAGCACATCATTTGTCAGCAGGCGTTCCCCACTTTCTGAGCAGCAAAGCCGGAACCCAGCGGTGAAACGGCTTTTTCTGAAGGAGCCGTCGCTTTAAAATATGAACGAATGAAGACTCCAAAAGTTCTTCTTCTGCTCTTTTTAGCTCCTCTGTTTTTCTGCCAGCTGCACTTCTCAAAATAAATTTTTACCAGAGGTGAAAAATAAAACTGACGTGACTCCATGATATCGAGTGGAAAAAGTTTAAAGTTAATTGCACCACAGAAACCTCCCCCTGATCCCTCCCAAGGCAGATGTATAGATTTTTCCCTTAAATTGTGCACAGAGTTTTTGGGCGTCTGTTTTGAGAAATTTTGTGCTTTCAAAATATTTATTGTGTCTGTGCTTAGGAATCCCAATGGACCCAGCAAGTGGAGAACACCATTAAATTAAACTTTAAAAATAAAATCAGGCCAAAGAAACTGAGTGGAGTTAGAGAGAGTTTATTGCTGCTTGAGATTAAATTCAGTGTCAATACCACAAGCTCTGAATGATGTTCTGGTGTTTGCTGTCCAGGTCTGGAGCGTGGGACGGAGTACTCGTTCAGGGTGTCGGCCGTGACGGTGAACGGCACCGGACCGGCCACCGACTGGACGACGGCGGAGACGTTTGAGAGTGACTTGGATGGTAGAAACACTCTGATCCCTCTCAGCATTGAATAAATCAAACGTCTCACTGGACTTTAAAGAACTCAGCCCAGGTTTTTCCTCCTCCTCTCCCACCAGAATCACGAGTCCCGGACCAGCCCAGTTCTCTCCACGTGCGGCCGCTGATCAACAGTATCGTGGTGAGCTGGACGCCGCCAGAGAACCAGGACATCGTGGTTCGAGGTTACACCATCGGCTACGGCATCGGCAGTCCCCATGCTCAGACCATCAAAGTGGATTACAAGCAGCGCTACTACACCATCGAGAACCTCGGTGAGAACAAACCAAATGACGTGGAGTCGTTTTGTTTCCCTCTGTTTGGATGTTTGACTTCTGTTTCTAAATAAAATAAATCTTATTTTTAGACTTTTTCACCATTCAGATTCAAATACCACCGGACAGGTATCCACTCGTCTCCTCTCTGAGACCTAAATCATTTCCTTATTTGTCTTATTCAAAAATTCAAATGTGTTTTCTGTAACTTGGCTGATTAAACTATTAAACATTTATAAAAACATTTTAATTACCGATGAGCAAACATACACAGACACACATTCATCTCTATGTCATATTGAGTATTTAGAGAATTAATGAGATCTTCTCCGCCGCAAGAGGAGCCACTAATTACACACACACCGGCTTAATGGGGACGCGGTAATTTAATGTCCTGATTTTATAACAAAGTAAATTTGTCTCAGTGGTTTTTGCCTTCGAACCAAAAGAACCATAAATGTAAAGCTTCAATACAGAAATGTGCTTCATCTGTCAAGACGTACGTTAGCACGATGGTCGTTCTTCTGCAAAGGGTCAGTTCAGAGCTTGAGTTATAGGCACAAGTCGTGCTTAATACTTGACCAGCAAGGTCCAACACTTTATGCTCAATCACACCAAATTTATGTGTTTATCTATGAGGTGTCCTTGAGTCTCTAGAGAGGCGCTGTGAAATAACATCTATTATTATTGTTGTTTTTATAATTAAACTCATAGATATCAGTCTTCTCTGCTCTGTTGGAAAACAAGATAAATACAATTACAGATTTTGTTCTGTGGGAAAATAATTTGTTGTCCTGCTGTGACTATTACAGAGGTGGTAATCCGTCATTGTTTTCTTTTTTTCTTCATAATGTCATAATTGATCCTCATCAATAATGAACCAGTAATCAAAGCCCCAGGAAGGGGTCTGGAAGTGGATTGTGAGTTTGAAAATGAAAAAATAATTTTAGGAAAAGGAGAAATTCAGGGGTATAATTGTTGCAAAGTATCTATACATGTATAATAGAAACCTTCATTAGAATCACAGTAAGAGATGATTGTATTCAAATACTCTCGCTGGCTAATATTGCAATTAGGAGTCAAGAGTCTCGAGAGTTTTGGCTTGATTAGATATCTGCATCCATTTATCTCTCTCTCAATCTCTCTCTCTGTCTCTCTCTCTCTCTCCACCCCACAGATGCCAGCTCCCACTATGTGATCACACTCAAGGCGTACAACAACGTGGGTGAGGGGATTCCTGTGTACGAGAGCGCCATCACCAGGCCACAGTCAGGTATGAAAAGACAACGTAGAAATCTGCGAAAAGATTTAGCGTCTCTTATATTTGATAGAGTGCAAAGAAAGAATTTGTTATTTTCATTGACGCCGTTTATCTGTGGAAGAAACTTAAATCCCATTATCTTAACCTCATACACAACAGAAAGCACACGCGTTATTATGGGATGTGCAGCTGTAGTTGTCGTCTCCCACCCAGACAAAAGACGTCGACTGACATTTATCTTTGCTCTCACTGGCCCGAGGTCATTACCAGACAGAATCTGTCGAGACTCCAAATTACCAGAGAGATAATGTGACGTCAGGGCGTCTCGCTGCTTTGATTAACTCCCCCTCTTCAAGTCTCAGTTCAAATTTTGCCTCTGGATTAGCAGCTGTACTGATTTAGGATAATAGAGCAAAAGCTTCTCATGTGTCAATGGATCAATTATCTTAACGAGAAGGGAGTAGAATGGTAGTTTCAAATACATCTTATCTGATATCCAGGATAGTAGATTCAATAAAGTTAAGTCAAAGTCCTAAACAGGCTTGTAATATGAAATAGAAATAAACATTAAACATCATAAATATCTGAGAACTTGAATCTTACACAGTGAAACCAAGGGTTAAAACTCAACATGATCTTTAGCAGTGATTCAAATCATCGTCACCTCTGTTTTTTTTAAAGTATCCTGTGAAAGTAAAGAACAAGTAAAGACAATCTGTTGAGCTGCTGATCTGATAACTTAATAAACATTGGTTCTCAGCGGTAGGACTTTGTTTTTGTAGCATTTAACCATCAGAGAAAAGGCAACATTCACCGAGTTGGTTAGAATCACAGCGTAATAGCTATTTATGTAAAAGTTAAACGAAAAGCATCCACGCTCCAACCTCCAAGAAATACAAAAGTCCTCCGCTGAAACCGCTGCCTCTGCTGTTTGTCTATCAGAGAGCGATGGTGTCGTCCAAGTCTTAGTGTGGAGATGTTGCCTCGCAGCAGAGCACAACTTGTAAAAGCATTTCAAGCGGTAAAACCAAAGCTGTTGTGTGTTTGAGGTGATTTAGAAATCATCCTCATGACAGTTGACCCACCACAGAGCAGTGACACTGCAAAATGTCCAGTGTCAAGATTTTATTTCCAAACTCCATCATGAGACGGTGGTCCGTGCTTCGTTAAAGACAAAGCGCTCAGATAGAAATTATTCTCGTGACACAGATTCAATTCCTGTGTGATGTTCCCAGTTTGTAGTAGATGTTCTTAATATCAGAAATCTCTGTGTTGCGGCTTTGTCTTTGCCATCTCAGTGCGATAGCGTGAAACAGATTTGCCGCATTAGTCAAGAGAACACGGACGCTCCATCGTGGCTGCCGCACTCTCGATCCATAATTCCTCAAACCTCACGTCACAACACGGGTTAACAATTAGATGTGGAACCTTAAGTCCCAATCCAGTGTGCTTGACAAACGATCTTAAAGTGTGAGACACTGCCGCTTAGACGAGTTCACGCAGTTTATGTGACAGTGTCAGAAGACGAGCAGCCCCTGCTCCCCGGGGTGTCCCAGAATGTGGGCTGCACCTGCCTCCTCTCCCATGCAGCCTCCCACCTCCACGCTCAGCCTTGATCACGCCAGTTTGTCTCTGCCGCCGCACTGTTGCATCGCCGCGCCGGAGAGGGGTGGGATGCTCGATGACATGAATCACGTCAACATGCTTCGAGGGGGGGTTGGCAGTCAGAGCGTGCACGCACACCCGCACACTGTCGTACTGTACGCTTCTCCGTGTGATGCTCTCTCTTCCTCGCAGCCTCACACTCACACACACACACAGGCGCCACGCACACTCGCAGACCCCCTGTGGTGGCTTTGGCAACCCTTCGTCAGATCCAAACGTTTCCTCTCAAAGCAGAACCAAAGCCCACCACCATCGTCTGCTGCTGATTCCTCGGGGGCGCGTTCCCTTCCTGCCAGTTTGTTAAAGTCGGGATTAAAAAGACGAGCTGACCTACATAGTACTTTTTTAAAAAAGCTGAGGAAAAACTTGGTGAACTTGGGTTGAGAGCGTGCTGGGTTTAATATGTTAAAGTGGTGTGATGTCTTAACTGAAAAATCAGGAAGAGAGGGATTTTACTCCCATCTGTAAAACGTTACAAAGGCAAGTCAGCCTCTCAGCTGCTGTGTATTCTACTTGTAAATACTGGGGACTGTGTTCTTCCAAGCTGGATAAAGAAAGGCAGCTTGTGTGCCTCTCCGAAAAAAAACCTCAGTGCCTCTCAACAACCGCATGAATGCTTGGATCTTCATCACACACACATACACACAAACACTGACTCACTCAGTCTTGGGAATATAATGAGGGCAGCTCTGCACAAAGAGGTGTCAAAGGGAGAGGAGCAGGGGAGGGGGGGGGGAGGAACAACAAGTGGTCGAGGAGCAGCGAGTGACCAAAGAGTTTTCCTCCATCACGTCTAAACCCGAGGGCAGAAGCAGGAGCAGAGGCCAGGATGCCATCTTGAAGTGTTTAACCTTCAGTGTGCTGCAGCTAGTTACAGCCGCTGATTCCATCTGACACACAGACACTCAAGTGTTCTTTGTGCGATCACACACACACACACTCACACACACACACACGCACAGTCACTCTTACAAAACGGAGATAATTAAACAGCAGGTAGTTATGATGCAACAGACTAAACACCATTTATCATATTCAAGTGCTGGACTGTGTTTTGTACGAGACCCTGAAAGGTGGACGCCACCGATTGAATTCTCTCTTTACTCAGTGAACAGGTGGACGATATAATCCGTCAGAATTGTGACACTATTTCTACTGATTTCTTTCTTTTTCTGATGTGTTTTTACATCCCAGGTAATGTCTAACATTAGATTTACAGTTTTTCTTCTATGATCAGGTATATTTACTTTTATTTTCCAGGTATTATTTTTACTTCATCAGCTAAAAAGATGTTTTCATGTAGTTACTTTTACCTACTTTTCTCTGCCTACTTTATTATGATACTTACACTTACACTCATAATGCACAGCCACAATAAATAAAGGATTCATAACAGTGACAGACGCCTTTTAGGGCCTTGTTATAATACACGGCACAGCAGCGCATCATCCACGCACAACATCTAAAGCAATGACATCTAGCTGTTGCAAACCAAATTGTGTTTTTTTTGTTTTGTGTCTCTGTCAGAGGATTATTGTGATCAGGAGAAATGTGTATTGTTTATTACTGATTCAAAGAGTAACGGTGGAACCTGTAGAAAGTGGGAAGAAGAACCAAACTCTGCCTTCGAGCATTTAACCAAACATCTGAGCCTCAGAACAGAAGCAGCACATTTACATCCAGCGCCACTTGTCCGTGACCCTTCTCTCCTCCCCGCCTGCAGGCTCCTTTGCTTTAAGCCTCGATATTCTCTCTTTCAAGGACATGATACACTTTTTCAAAGTTACCCTGCACAGGGGGGGATCGTTCCTCTGCATTCAGTGTCCTTCCTGTTTATCCGCGCTGTATTGAAATGCTGTGATGATGTGAAAACTCTGTGTCCATGCTTCAATGTGCGAGTTTGAAACTTTGGATGCAGGATTGTGGATATCTGCTTTCACTCTAGTTCTCTCATTGACTGTATTCTTGTATCTAATGAATAGAGATTCTCTTCTTCTCCCTCCGTACTGCTGCAGTAGTTATTAATAGACATCACATACTAGCTTCTATATAGCAGCTGCATCTTATTGTAGAGGTCAGTGTCTGTTTTTTCTAATAGAATCTTCTCTCTCTTTCTCTTCATCCTTCCCACTCCCATCCCTCTGTTACCTTCCTCCTCCTCCTCCCTCATCGTTGTCCGTCATTTTAACTCATTAACCTTATTTTTTCATTTCCCTCCCTGCATCCTGTATTTTGTCTCCACTGTCTGATCCACCACGCTTCTCGTTGTGTTTTAATTTTGCCCATTTTAATTTGTGTTCATGCATGAACGCGGGTTTACTGCCTGACACGCAGACCCCATTGACCCCGATGTTGACTTGTATGAACTCTTCCCTGCTCCATACACCCCAGTACCAGACCCCTCCCCCATGATGCCGCCCGTGGGTGTTCAGGCCTCGGTGCTGAGCCACGACACCATCAAGGTGACGTGGGCCGACAACTCGCTGCCCAAAAACCAAAAGATCACAGACAACCGTTTCTACACGGTGCGATGGAAGACCAACATCCCTGCCAACACCAAAGTGAAGGTAAGACATTTTGTTTGACACGTGGATTTGTCTTATTGGGAGATTTGGTCTCATAATGTTGTTCTCAATCATATAAGCTCCAGTTTAAATTTAAAACTCAGAATGAGATGAAGCCTGGAGCTGCTGAAGCTTTCTGGTTTCACTTCAAGAACTTTAAATTAGAGCTCTAATATGAAAAGTTGCATATTTACGTAACAAATGTTTGTTTTCTTAATTCCATTTCTATATATTTGTTTGTATTTTCTTTTTATTCATAGTTATTTATATCAAAGTTTATCATTAAACTGTAAAACATCAGGCCGGCGTTACATTTCTGTATCACAAAATGTTTGGTGTCTTCATCAGTCCCCATAACTCTATATTGTTCAGACTCAACTTTTAATCTTGACAAACATCTTTACGACTGAGTGAAATTCAGTTAATCTCAAATCATTTCACTGCGATCAAACCTGAGTCCGACTCCTTCGTCCAATCCAGTATGATTTCTGTGTATTTCGGTGCAGCGCACGTCGTCAGACCTGCACTTTCCAGAGAGATATATTGATGTGCTGAAAATATATAGTGAAGTAATGTGAGGATATATGATAAAGTATTCCCACTGCAGCTCCTGAGCTCAGCCGCAGCGTAATGCAACAAGGTTTTTGTAAACAAGCCAGATTTATTTTCTACTGACTCTGAAACCATGAAGTGATGTTGTCACTTTGAGTCATTTTCTACAAAACTTCACAATTAAGACTTTCTCTCCACTTTGTTTTAGTTCCTAACAGTTTAAAGGTCGGCTCTGGTGTTTTCGAAGAGTCATCTTTGGCTATAACTGTAGGTTTAGTGTTTAGTTTAGTTTAGAATTATCTTAGCGCCTCTCTTTTTATTTTCGTTATCTGTCGGAGGTATAATTCTTAAGATTTACCCTCTGGTTCATTCAGTGACAGCCTTGATACTACAGCACACATGTTGTCAGAGGTGCAACAGGAGAGCAGCTGGTGGATGTGTTTAAACTGCAGCCAAACAAAATCCTCTTGTTTTGAGCAGCCGCAACCAAAACAGTTTAGTTTTACTGATGCATTTTTGATGAGCGAATGTGATCCGTGGGAACCAGAGACACACACAGATGTTTTATAACATGTCAGAGGTTTTCAAATAGTTTGTTTTGTTTGACCGTCCGGTGAGTCACGATGATATGGAAGCTAATTCATACATCTGAGAAAATTAAACAATCACTACTTTCATTGTTTTCAAATGATGATAAAACTGAATCATTTTTTTATTGAGCAGATATTTAATTATAACCCTAAACAAGCTGGAGTTGATGGTCGGTGAAATGATCAGGTGCAACACTGGGGTATTGTGGCGTGCGTGCGTCTGTGCGTGCGTGTTTGTGCACAGACCTATGGGAGGGCTCAGATAAAGGTTTGTGTTTACTGATAAATTATTCAACAAGGACAAGACAAACTGAGAAGAAGTAAAAGAGGCTGTAGATCTGACACAGTGCATTCTCCACACACACACACACACACACACACACACACACACCGGATGCTCTCTCTCAGCTCGCTGTCCGTCCTGGACTCACAAGCTCGTAGCTGCCATTTTCTAAATTTACACCTGAAGAGATCAGCACAAAATTAAAGGAAACTACAGGACAGATGTTTGGTCATTAATTCAGAGTGTATCCACACCGACACGTCTACGTGGTGTAACGTCTCAGTCTGTCGTCATGTGCGGCATGATGCTCTAACAAGTTTGATTCTCACACTGTGACTGTAATTAAACAGCTCCACTGGCTCATTATGTTTCTGTCCCGTTAATGAAATCCATTAAAGTAACAAGTCTGTCAGAGAGTCGTCCTGGTGCGGACTACATCTTATACATGCTGTTGTATATATGCTAACATGGCTGTCCAGACCTGCAGTAATTGGCTCGATGTAGCTCATGTCCTCTCCTCTCCGAGAGCGAACCGAGTCAGACGAGCTTGTACATTATTGAAGAGACAGCTGCTCTCAAACCGGCTGCAGGAACAAACTGTTTTCTTCTCCGAACCCTCTTGTTGGAGATCTGCACTTTGCGTCGTAGCGTGCAACATAAAGCCGTAGACAGGCCCCGATAGAAACTGGATGACCGGTGGAGATGGAGGTGAACGGTTGCATAACTCAAGAGTTAAACTCTGCTGACTTCAGTGATTCCAATCAGACGTTAAACATTCTGCTGTTTGCGTTGATCGTCTGCCACGTTTTGGTTTTTCTGCTTGTTTGTAATGGCTGCGCTTCTCTGTGTGCAGCTCAAACATGATGAAGCACGTCGCAAAATGTAAAAGCTTCTGTTTCCACTCAGTGGTCTGTGTGTGTAATCTATCCTAACCTCTGGAAAAACACTCAGACTGGTCGTTATCCTTAGAAATAAAAACCTCAGTCAATTGAGAGGAGAAAAACAAATGTAGACTATCTTGATATTTAAGAATTGTTTTCGTTTTCCAGCTTCTCATTGACGACCATTTAATGATTGAATGATCTGAAGAAAACTTAATATTAAGGTTTTCTTTCTCTCCTCTCTTCATTACTAAAATTTACTAAAGATTAAATAGAAAAACAAAACAGAAAAACGTTAACAAAGAATATAGATGGTAATGTGATGCAGACCTGACGTCTTTGTCCCTAAACATAATGCATGTTTACTTTTAAACTAAATACATTTAATTTCACTCTAAACAATTCGTGATCTTTTAATTTTTTGTGTATTAAAAATGATAAGACTTTGTTTATTTTCATAGATAACAAATTCTTTTGACTCCTCAGAGACTTGAGCCGTCTCATGTGAATGTAATCTGTCGTCACACAGACTGAATGGTCGTTAATAGTTTGTTGTGTGTCTGTCTCTCCTCAGATGGCCAACACCACCAGTCTGAACCACATGGTGACGGGTCTGAAGCCCAACACGCTGTACGAGTTCTCCGTCATGGTGACCAAGGGCCGGCGCACCAGCACGTGGAGCATGACTGCACAGGGCACGACGTTTGAGACCAGTAGGAGACTTCACACGCACAAATAACCACACAGAACATATCCAGAATCACAGACATGTCGAACAGTAAACAACAACATGTCCGAGCTGTCGCAGCACACACAGTAAGATAGTGAAGACAGAGAGCGATTCAATAGTACAATTGTAGAAACCTGCAGCAGATTTTATTATTGCGGGAAATAAATGTCATGAGAAATTAAAAATACACAATGGACGATAATGAAATAATCACAATCATAATAATAGGAGCCCAGAATGAATTGCCTGTAATATTGTTTATGCTTCTCTATTTTATGTCTGTTCGTCTTTGTTTCCCTGTTACCGTTGTTGCTTTGCACAATATCAGAGACGACAGATAATAATTACTGAGTCAGCTGAATCAACATCATATAAATGGACTGTGTGACTGTTAAAATAACCCATAACACTGTCACCATAGCGATTTAAAGTACTTTTTAAAAGCCACCAGCCGTTCCGTATTGAAAATACACAACGCCCTGGTTATTGGTGTGTGATTTGTGCAGCGCTCTGGACCTAATGGACACTAAAATTTGCAAGCTGGAAAGAATCGGAGCCCATTCTTCATCGTAAGGTGTAATTGCTGAGCTAAAAGATTCACAATAAACCTAAAAACTCATTTTCTTTCAAACCACTTCTTCATCTGCATTATTGGATTGAGATTTAGTGGACTGGCACTGGAGGGGAACATTTGGCTTTCTCTCCTGTGCCAACAATGCAGCGGCCGCAGGCATTATGTCTTTTGGGTTTGTCTGTCCTTCTGTCCTGTTTCTTCAAATTCAGTAGAAACATTCACCGGGACTCAAGGATGGACTGATTAGACTTTGATAAGGATACGTGTCACTATAGTGATGAGTCCCAGTTCAGCAATAAAGAACAAATTTATTCCATTTATCAGGAGTCTGTTGTATCAGTGATCAGCGGCTCTGGGTCTAAAGGAAGGGCGGGTCATCCACAAATCAGAAGGTCGGTGGTTCAAAGTGTCCTTGAGCAAGATACTTAACCCCAAATTGGTATTTGATAGAAAAGGTGCAGTGTATAGTAGTGCTGTATAAATGTGTGTGTGGAAGTTGGCTGGAAAAACGCACACATCCAGAAAAACCTTTTTCTCTTTTGATGAAAACAGCGATGATAAATCAAATGTTCTCGTATTTTAAAGGAGACAGTTTCTATTTCTGTAGTCAGAGGTTTGTTTCACACGTTTTCAAGTGGATGGTATCTACTGTTTAATCACACTTGTGCATATACTCGCAGTGAAGTACAAACACTTCATTACGGTGCTACTCAAAGATGCACATGGTTTACTCATATGTTGCAGTAGACGTTTGCAGTGAATCTACCATGTTGTTAAATTTAAAACTGAACAAAGCGGGTTTCTTCTTGATCTGACCGACCGCCTCATCGTCTCTACAGTTCCCAGCTCGTCTCCGAAGGACGTGACTGTGGTGAGCAAAGAGAACAAACCTCGCACCATCATCGTCAACTGGCAGCCGCCCTCCGAGGCCAATGGGAAGATCACTGGTGAGTCTGAGAACCTGCTGTGTTCGCTGGAAAATGTCAGATGTCTGGCTTCCTGTTTTTTAACTGTTAGGACCTCTCTGTAAAGACTCTCCACAAGATATATGTACATTTTCAGACTTTTTCTGCTGCAGTGGTGAGAGAGAAACCTCTGTGTCTCATCTATTTTGGAAGAACAAAGTCAAATATCATGAAAAAAACACTGTATTTTAAATCTTCTGATACCTTCGCTGTGGCAGGTTACATAATCTACTACAGTACGGATGTAAATGCGGAGGTCCACGACTGGGTTATTGAACCGGTGGTGGGAAACCGCCTGACGCACCAGATCCAGGAGCTGACGCTGGACACCACCTACTACTTCAAGATCCAGGCCCGCAACTCCAAGGGCATGGGCCCCATGTCTGAGGCCGTCAACTTCCGCACTCCAAAGAGTAAGTTCACAGGATCAGGACCAGACCAAGATGGAAACTGCGTCTTAACCGAACCGCAAGTTGATATTTTAAAGTCAAACATCCAACAGCTACACAGACATCAGGACGGATATTTTTCATACAAAACCTTTCTCCCATTTTCTAGTAAAACTTCTCCTGAGGAAGTTTATGTGAGAACGTTTCTTAAGAGCTGAGTTGGGAAAGTTTCCTAAACTTTGTTGATCGGTTTGGGACAAATTTTAAGTTTAGTCAGCAAATTTGTCCCCAACTTTACTTTGGTGCCGCTGCTGACACTTTCTTTTGTTTTTATCTGAGTAGTTAAATAAGGCTTCGTCTCTTTAACAACATTTTTAGTCGCGAGATGTTTAATAAAATATTGTCGGACCTTTCTCCTGGATTTGTCGGAAGCTTTTATAGTTTTAATTTAGATGCTTTGCTCTTAATCTCAGTTTGGCTGTTTCTAAGATTCACTCTTGCTGTTTAATTTTTCTCACTGTTTCTCATTCCTCTCGTTTTGCACCTCTCCTCCTCACAACCCCCGACTCTTGCTTAGTCTGTCCCTCGCTGCTCTTTTTCAGCTAACCTGTTTTTTGCTTTTTATTGTCTCTCCCTCCCTGCTCTCCTTTGGCCTGTTAAGCTGAGTCCTCTGACAAAATGGCTAATGACCAAGGTAAACTCCCCCTCCACACTTTTTTATCTTTCACCGCTGGCTCTGCTCCTCCAGTGTCTCTCTCTCTCTTCCTAAAGATTTCCATCTTCTGGGCTGATGAAAACTTGGGCTGCATGACCAAATCAGTTTGTGTTTTATAGGAATTTTTGAACTGTGATGTATCTCATGAAGGTTTGAGGCCATAAAAACATTTTTTCTTTGTATCAGCCTCCAATCTTCCACCGAAGCAGGGGCCTCCAGGCAACCAGGACCCACAAGACCATGGGACGTCAGTTGGTAAGGTTTTCCTCCACTGTCCTGGTCAGATGTCATGTTTGTCAGTCAGACTCTACAGCAAAGACGAACACAACGTTCCTTCTCTCTGACACTGCATTTTGAAATCTGCAATTTAGACATATTTCTAGCTCCATATTTTCATGATAGTTGGATGTCGTTAGTAATTGTCCAGTGTCTTTAAACCAGGATCCTGCACACGTCCCACAAAACTCCGTAATAGACCCAACCCGTTACCTGCAATTATCTCCAAGTCATCCATTAACATAAGCTTTATGGACGCCTTGTTCTCCTGTTTTGGTGGCTGAGTTGTGTTCTCAGAAAAAAGTATCTATCAATTGTCGCAGCTCCTACAGTCGTGTTTTCTAGGTTTTCTTCAACGTCAGCAGTGACATGTATCTGAGCAGAGGTGACGTGGTCAAAGTGTCTTTTACACAAAAACAAATTCATGTGGCTTACTGGGTTTCATATGAGTTGATTGAGATTTAAAAATTCTGCATATGGCATAGTTTTAATTTTAAAAACCGCGATAAGTTCATTTTTACCTGAGAATTTATATAAATTAGATTTTGTATCCATTACATAACTTGGTTGTATGCCTGGCTCTTCGACCCGGTGCAGGACTCTGCTTTAAACCAGCGTGTAGGATTTAGGGGGCTCAATTTGCAGACTTAGAACATAGTATTCATAATTATGTTTTCATTTGTATTTACTCATTATGAATTAAGAGCCCTTGTGTTCTAATTAGCTAAGAATGAGTCAAACACTAGGTCCCGAGTCTTTAATTGTTTTGATGTTACCTGGAGGCCACCATAGGTTCTCCTCCACATCTGGAAAAAGAGGGGTGAAGGGAGGTTCACTCAGTTTCTCGCAATCTGCAGCCTCACCGCTAGATGTCGCCAGATCCTCCACACAGGGGTCCCTCTAGAGAGGTATTCATGAAAGCAACTTGTCTAATCTAATCTTTCTCCTCTTGAGGTAAATCAGGGGTGGGAAGCAACAGTGAGAATCACATCGTGGTCATCATCATCATCATCTCAGTGGGAGCCTTCACCATCATAGTGGTGGTGGTTGGCGCCTTCCTGTGCACACGACGCACCACGTCCCACCAGAAAAAGTAAGACGCTCAGGCACAAACTTTACTCACCTACAGCTCAACTCCTGTGTCCCCTCTTCCTCTTACTATGGCCACTCTCTCTGTAAACGCCGCCAGTCTTTCACCGTTGCCTCTGCGTTCTCCTCTGCAGAAAGCGAGCCGCCTCCAAGTCCTCCAACGGCTCCCACAAGTACAAGGGAAACGCCAAAGACCTGAAGCCGCCCGATCTCTGGATTCACCACGAGAGGCTGGAACTCAAACCCATGGACAAGTCGCCAGACCCCAACCCAGTCATGACCGAGACGCCCATCCCCCGCACCTCGCAGGACATCACGCCTGCTGACAGCGGCCTGGACAGCAACCCCCACCTGCAGCAGAGGCGCAACTCCTACCGCGGTCAGTCTTGGGGGGGGTGGATTAATATTTGATTGTATGAGAAGGAGATCAAAGTGAAATGTCACTTCTGAGTTCCCGTGCATCATAATTCTGAGCAGATCTCTGGAGTTCAGCTGGAAAACAGGAAACTACATTCAAAAGATTTCATAAGAATTGTGTTCGGGTTTGATTCCAGGGGCGTGAAAGGAAGAGTCTGGGAGAATTTGGGATGTTTTTGTCTCACAAGTCAACACTTGTCCTTCCTGTTGTGTTTGTTCTGATTATCATGCAAAACATTTCATGCTTTTCATACGCACAGCGCCCATTACTTGTCATGATTGCAGTGCTGCGAGCACAAACTGTCACCACTGCAACTAAGTACAGTGGAAGCGCTCAATATAATTAGCTCACAACATAATGTGACTGACAGAAATGTAATTAAGGACCCTGAGGTCTGTAGATGGATCATTTCACAAAAACAAAATTGAGCAACGCAGAGTAGCCGCTCTTTCTGATTGGCTGGTTTCCATCGTACCTTTTAGGCCACGAGTCAGAGGACAGCATGTCAACACTAGCAGGTCGACGAGGGATGAGGCCTAAAATGATGATGCCTTTTGATGCGCAGCCACCTCAGCGTAAGTGTGCGTGTGTGTGTGAGAGAGAGAGAGAGAG